TTTCATATTCATAGCTTCAAATCTTGTCACACACACACACACACACACACACACACACACACACACACACACACACACACACACACACACACACACACACACACACACACACACACACACACACACACACACACACACACACACACACACACACACACACACACACACACACACACACACACACACACACACACACACACACACACACACACACACACACACACACACACACACACACACACACACACACACACACACACACACATATATACACACACATACACTATTGTATTGTGTCAGTACGATTTTGTAATGTTTTTGAAAGAAGTCTCTTACGCTTACCAAGTGTGCATTTATTTTATCAAAAGTATAGTAAAAACAGCCATAAGGAATATTATTATAATTTAAAACAACTGTTTTATTTTCAAATACATTACTCCAGTCTTCAGAATTTATTCTAATGTGCTGATTTTCTGCTCAAGAAACATTTCCTATTATTATCAACACTGAAAACAGTTGCTGCTTAATATTTTTGTGGAAACAGTGATACATTTTTTTCAGGATTCTTTAAATAGAAAGTTCAAAAGGACAGCATTTATTTGAAATAGAAGCCTTTTGTAAATGTATTTATAAATACTGTCATTTTTGATCAATTTAATGTCTTCTTGCTCTCAACGGTCATTTTTCCCCCAAATGAGTACCTGCTGCATCTTGAGTTTTTTCTGTCCTGCAACAAAAGATGGAGGATCACATTCTTTCTCAAGGTCCACTCGCATGAACTCATCGATAGTTAGGGCACTGGTGGGGGTATCCTCAAACTCTGTCAGTCTGGATGATACAGTAATTTAATTATATTTAATAATATTGACAAGATATATCAAATATTGACTGATACTAACATGGTACCAATATATATATTGTACATCCCTAGCTTTACTGTGACAAAATAAATGTAGGGTATTTAAGCATTATGTATCAAACATAAGTCGGGTCACTACTTGTTTTGGTAATAGCAGACAATTTCTCTACATATAAAAATATGTTCAGATCTACCGTGAAATTCACCTTTTTCTCAGCGTGGCCTCGCACACCTTGACAACAGATATCACCTCCTTCACTGTATGACGGAATTCATGCATACGAGCTGCTACGAGCAGAGCTGGGGGGATGTGGGAGAGAAAATGGGGATAAATGTTTTGTCCCAAACCGTATTGTTCACAATTTGTATGACATTTCACCACCGTGCAAATTTACAATGTATGTTTCATGCAAAAGTGTTGAGAGTGCACTTTCTATAGTAATGGAGCATCTGTAAAAAGAATCTCTGCAGATGCTGAGGTGTGTTGTGTGATATAGTAACCTGGTTAGTAGGCATTATGTAAATTGTGCTGCAGAGTTGTGTTTAAAAGAACAATAACAAAACATGCCTATACAATCCCTTTTCCATCCACAGTCAACATAAAAGCAAATGCTCATCCAATATATTCACAGAATATTTCTATAATTGCACTATATATTTAATACATTTTATGGTAAAACAGTAATATTGTAAAAAAACAAAAACAAACAAAAAAAACATTTAAAATTCAATTTTATTTTAATATATTTTAAATTTTTAACTCATTCCTGTGATGCAAAGCTGAAATTTCAGCAGGCATTATTTCAGTCTTCAGTGTCACATGATCTTTCAGAAATCATTTGTAATATGCTGATTTGCTGCTCAAGAAAAATTTCTGTGTTGTGCTGCTCATTATTATTATTTTTTTTTTTCAGGATTCTTCGATGAATAGAATGAGAACAGCATTTATTTGAAATATAATTTTTATAACAGTGTAAAAGTATGTACTGTCAATGTCATCAATTTTTAATGTATCCTTGCTAAATAAAAGTATTAATTTCATCAAAAATATACATATATTCTAAATTGTATCCTAAATTCAGCAAAAATCTAAGTGCAAACTTACTGATGAATTATTATTATTTCTGGGTGAAAACATTCCCACAAACATATGCACAGTGAGTGACTTTCTTTTTTGCTTTTATCTTGATCTTGTTTTTGCAGTGTTCTCACTCCGAGCCAGAAGGTGAAGTGTAGTTGTGTTTACTCCCCTCGCTCTAAAACAATCAACCTCAATACAGAAAACTGACATTTACACTTACCATATTCCCCTGAATACTGTGAATGATTAATGATGAATTATTAATTATTCAGATATTGCAGCAGCGGATGTTAGATGGGAAAAGTGAGACAGCAAGAGAAGGCTGAACTAGAGATGCAGGCAGGAAGACTGCCTTCTATTCCTGAGCAGTCGAGGCATCTTGCTAACGACAGAGTGCAGAGACCAACGTGTTCTGCTTCGGATCGAGGGCACCGAGATCTGTGCGTTGGTAAAGCACTTGCCGTGATCTTGTTTTTATCCTTGTTATGGAACTCGCTGCTCCAGTTCGCATGTCAAACTTTTAGCACATTAAGGGATTTGCTTTATGATCTGACAGATGCGCAGAACTGAAGACTGAAAAAAACATGTCGACTATTTTCATTTCGAGCTGACAAAGGAGGCGCCTAGTGAATCTTTTAACAACTTGGAGGTTCATCCAAAACAAAGAAAGGACTGAGGTTTAAAGGGATAGTTTATACAAAAATGAAGGTTTTGTTGTGATTCATGTTGTTCCAAACATGTGTGATTCTTTCTTCTGTGGAATACAAAAGAAGATATTTTGAAGAATGTGTCAGCTGTTTTGTCCATGCAGTAATAACCAATGGGGACCAAAAGACCAGGTGGTTTGAATATATTCAAATATATTTTTTTGTGTTCCCCAGATAATAAAGACAATCATACAAGTTTGCAACGACATAAGGGTGAGTAAACAAAGACAGAATTCTCATTTTTGGGTAAATAAAACCTTCAAGAGAACTTCAAATACAACAGTGTTTATCATTTGAACATTAGACAATCTACCTGCACCACACAAGCCTGATGGTCGCCGTCCCGTGTGCATCCAGTCCCTTTTCATCCTCTGCAGCAGTCTGAGAGCAGTCATCGAAACCTCATGAGTCTTTTCACCAAACTCCAACATGTGGGCGAATCGTGGAATGTACAGACATGGATCTATAGATAGAAATATACAGATCTGAAATCAACGTCTGGACACGAACCTGAGAACATAACCTAAATATGTAACTTTGGATTGAAAACTGAGTTTGAGTTTATTACAAATCAAGCCTTCACATCTTTGTGTACCTTATTTAACTGATGCCCTTTCAAAAGATTTAAAAAAGCATAATTTTTTGTTGTTCTCCATGACTCCATGTTGAATCTAGAACACGGTCCTCCTATGGGAACCTTTAAAAGAGGCTTGGCTTAGAGTCACTCTGTGGGAGCAAATATCCCTCACTTCCACCTACTTCTAAGTCCTTGGGTAAACTCATTCTGCTGGCCCAATAAAGCCCAAACATCACTGCTGTCCTAATAAGAAGGAAATGAGCTCAGCTAAGAAAGGCGTAATCTATGATCCTATCTAAGGCTACACTATAGGGACTGCACCTGCACTTACGAGAGTATGTTCATTGAAATCTCCCGACTGTGTCTGTCACTGGCCTTTTTATACAGCTTGGTAATTTTATATTAAATTATAATATTAATGCAGTAGAGCAGAGCGGTTGACAGAACAAATATTCAGTACCATCTGTGAAACAGGAAATAGTTTAAGTTGTTTAAGAAAAATGTAATTTTCTCATGTAACATTCTTCGGAATGATCCATACTGCTCTGAAAAAATAAATTGATTTTCAGATTTCTATTTCAGTCATGGCTGTAAAATTATCTGATTTGTGAGACTGTAGCTGTCAGAGTTTGATTAAGGGAAAAGTGATAAATGAATACAGGGAGAAATAATCAAATAGATCTGTGTTGGTGGGGCTGGAAACTTGGCTTTACAGAAAAAGAGGCCTTTTGGTGAGAGTTAAGGACAGCAGTACAGGTAGGGAAAATTCTTTATAAGAAAGCCACATGCTGCATATTCCAACAACAGAGCCCTTCTGAAGCAAAAATTGTGGATGATCCTCTTAATTTTGGTGCTAAAATGGGTTCTGATCTAGGTTAAACAAAGACATGCCTTAAAAGATGCACTGAGGCATCAGACGCCTCAAACTCAGTCTCTGACCTTGTCTTTCACATGTCTGATGTGTCTGTAATTGTTAAAATCACCACTTGCTTGGGGGAGGAAGCTTGATTTTGACACAGTGGGAGTGCTAAATTGAAAGCGATAATCAAGACCTTTTGCAATTAGTACATAGCAGAAGTGGTAACTGTACTTTTAATATACAGTTAATTCTGCAGCCCAACAAAGTGGAAATGTATAAAAATCCACATAAAACTATAGAAATGCATAACTAAGAGAATGAATAATATACGACAATACTAATTAACAACAACTGTCATCTTAAGGAAACTGCAATTATTATGCTGTTAAACCTCTAAATAGTTCATATAACATACATTAGAGTTGTGTAGGGTGGGGGTGTAGTGACATCACAATCGCATTGCATTGTGGTATATGCAGCTGCCCAAAAGGGTCTGGCTGCAGCTTGGCGCTTGCACTCTCAGACGTGTATTCTCAGGCTTGCACTCTCAGACACTTGCACTTCCGCTAGCGACGTCACTTGCAGTCTTTATTTATTATACTCATACCTTTTGTTCTTTAATATTTTGAATTGTTTTCAGCTTTATTTTTTGTTTTTCTTTTAAATGTTAAGTTTAGAAATTTTTGTTGTATGCATTTGTCATTTTTATTTAATCTCTTTATTTTTAAAATGTGTATAGGTAGTATTTATAAAGTTTTAGCTTTTAGTTTTGGATCTGTTTTTAGTTGTTTTAATACTACAATTGATTGCTTCTGTTGTCCTCATTTGTAAGTCGCTTTGGATAAAAGCCTCTAATAAATGACTAAATAAATAAATAAAATAAATAATCATTAAATCACCACCACAGCTTCTTGTCTCCATTGGCAACACGCACGATTTGTGTCGATTGCAAGTGACGTCGCAGGTAGCGGAGAGTGCAAGTGGCGATTGCAAGTGACTTCGTAATTTAGTTTCTTTTGTCTTGTCTTCACCACCTGGCTATACTGTTGTAAAATGTTGAGAGATTCAAACAAAAAGTAATAAATAAATAGAACAAAATAAAAAATAAAAAAGACTGCAAGTGACGTCGCTAGCGGAAGTGCAAGTGTCTGAGAGTGCAAGCGCAAGACTGCAGCCAGACCCTTCTCCAGCTGCCTGAAGTGTTCATATGCGTAGACTCGTGTCCTCTGGATTAAAATCGAGAGGTTGAATGTCTGCCCGTATAAACTTCCCTTGTCCACCTGATGAAATGGAACGCACTTCAAAATTGTGGTGGGGATTACGGCATATAGTAAATGAAAAACAGTATGTGAAAAGAGTAGTGTTCACAGTACTCACAAAACAGTAGGTGAAAATTAGCCGGATGACTTACTACTTCCTGTGAGATTTACGGTACTTATCATTCATTTCTGTAGTATCTGCCAACAGTGTCACATTAATGGCTTCTGCTTGTACACACACAGCTGCCTATTGCATTGTATTTTGACTGATTTGGTTTGCGTGTTTGTTTAGATCTACTTTTATGTCGTATTTACACTTACTAGAAGCATTATATCCACCTTATTTTTAATGTAAGAGTGGGTGCAGCCATTAGTAAATTGAATGTGCAAGACTTCTAGTGTCTGCTTCCAGTTATTTTTAGCTATACAAAAACAGCCTTTAATGCTGCTTGATAATGCAAACTGGAATTTCTTAGCATATTATTTTAATCTATTATTGAAATCTTAAACACTGTTTTTAGTGCATATAGTTTCACCATTTAATGCACTTGGTTATTCTTCTAGTTATTTATCTTTAGCAGTATATACACTACCATCTTAAAGGGGTCATATGTTACTAAAAAGAACATTATTTGGTGTATTTGGTGTAATGAAATGTGTTTATGCGGTTTAAGGTTAAAAAAAAAAATTATTTTCCACATACTGTACATTATTGCTTCTCCTACGCCCCTTACCATACTGTGATGCCGTGTCCCAGAGCGACAAGACAAAACCAATACAAACGAGGCATTTGTAGCATCCAGTGGGGACATAATTACTCATTACAATGACTTATACTGTCTTTTTACGCGTTATGTCTGCATTTGTGATCGGAGAAATGACAAACAACAAGCGGTACTCTACACTGCTCAAAACTTGCGTTTGAATAATCAGTGGCAAATTCTTTAAACATGAAAACGTACTTACAGACTGCGAGTCAGAACAGCCAGCATTGTAGTCTACTCTACAGTGTTAATTTTGACAGGCATTTTTGATTAAAGCTGCAGTCCGTAACTTTTTTTGGTAAAAAATTATTCGAAATCAATATTTGAGCAAGTACATAACCAGCCAGTGTTCAAAACTATCGCCTTCAGCCTTTTCTCACAGCAGCCAGAATAATTAAATGTATCATTCTAATGGCGGATTGTAATCCATGAAGGATTATGTGTTTATGAAACATATGTGAATGAAATTAAATTATATTCCAGTTATAAATGTGCTTCTGATTACAGATAGCCTGGGATTAAACAAGATTTGTATTTTAAAGACAACCAGTTTTCTTAATATGAAATTCGAATGGTATGACGATTAGACTGTACAGAAATTGAAATATACACGCTAATACACACTATACTCATAGTCACGCAATGCTGATGTTGTTAACATTAACAAAGGTGGCAGACTGCCACACATACTCTTATGCTTCAGAACATTAGATTCATCCGCGCTGGAGCCGTGCCGACTCACAACCCATGCAAGCTAGATAATTCCGCACACTGCTGCAATTCCAGGTTTTCAAACAGAGATGGCGACAAAGAGGCAAAATTTATGGACTGCAGCTTTAAATCTTAGTCATTATCTTGAGACGAAAAAGCTTAAAGGGGTCCTATTATGCTCTTTTACAATGTCTTGAATTTGTTTTGGGGGTGTACTAGAACATGCTCTCATGCTTGGTGGTTCGAAAAACGCATTTTTTTTAACATAATTTACATTATTACAATACCTTTCTCCCCAGTCTGCCACAAACGGCTCGATTAGTTCCAGGTTTGATAAATGCCCACCTTCCAAAAAACGAAATGTGATGTGATTGGTTAGCTATCCCAGTGCGTTGTGATTGGCGAACAGCTGAGATGGTGTTTCAGTACTGCCCCGCCCCTTGCCAAAGCAGCAAGTTTAGTTAAGGATGGTGTCAATATTGCCATATCAATTTGAGCCGGATTCAGACCCAGAGAATATTGAACAAGAGGATCATGCAGAATATCACACACGGATATTGCAAGACATATTAGAGTGGTAACGTTATTGTTGTTTTTTGTTTTTTGTGGCTAAATCACGTTTTAGATAGGATGTCAACAACCGCTTAAAAATAACTGCATTTACTGTGTACAGATAAGTGCATATGTATTATGTTTATTGTTCTTTAATTCTAACATTATAACATGAATTGCAGTGAAACTGTTATACA